GGGTGATCAGGAACCAAACGATTTGGCTGACATCGCTTAGTTTATGCAAGAGTGCAAGAGAAGACTCTTGCATATTTGCTCTCCAGAAGAAAGCCCGCTGAATTTATTCCACTGAAAGGCAGAACGCTCAGCTGCTGGTACAGTTGCATCTACAGATTTGGTGGAGTCCCCTTGCCCGGGCCCTCGCTGACCTGCCACGTTGACATTTCCTCCCAGTTCATACCTACGTGCTTTTCATCTCGCACCCGTGTGCGCAGCTGCGGCGCTGGCGTTTCACTCGGCGAGGCTGCGGGGTGCGAGCTCCCCACCAGCTCCGCTGCCTGCTCCGGCAGAGCCGTAACCTTGGCAGCACCGGGGATTAACGATCCTTATTTAGGGACACGTGTGAGCTGCAGAAATGAAAGAACTGAAACTCAATCTTTCTTTAATTTAGCCAGCACAGGTAACAGACAGATGCACGTAAGACAGACACCAATACGTATTTCCCTGTCTTGGTCTGGAATTGCAGTATCATCCATCCAGCATAGCTGACTTCCAGTATCATGGATTTATTTTTATATTACTATTATTTTTTTTAATCTATCCTCTACAGGTAGTTCCACTCTGTTACTCTGCCTCCCGATGACTGGTACAAGACCCCTACCCCCTTTTTTTGCCAGGCAACAACTGAAAGCCTCATGAAGCAACGAAATACCACCCCCTTCTGCCCCTCATTCACAACCTTAGCCACATCACCCCGGCAATTCGAGTTGCCACACTGTGGGCTGTAGTCACCTCTTTCCCACAGCTGCTCTTTGTGGCATGGGTAGCCACTGGCTCATGAATCTTGAGCTGCCATTTAAGGGTTGATCCTACGGTAGGCACCTAAAACTTATCCCATTATTTTTTCTTGATCCTTAGTTCAAAGAATGGGGAAAGAACAGCACAAGAAGAAAATTGTTCTCTGTTTCATCCCATTACCCTGCCTCTATTAAAAACAAAAATAGCAGCTGGAGAGTATTTTCTGGTAGAAAAGTCAAAACATTTACTACCTATAAATTCAGCATCCTCTGAATTGGTAAAAGCAGGGTGCTTTCATTCGGCAACCCCCAAGCGGCATGGACTTCTGCCCTAGAAAACTGCAGCGCACACCCTCCACCAGCTGAGCACAGTAACTTGGTCCCTCCTGCCTGCTTCAGGGAAGCACAAACATCACCTTGGTTCTGACCAAAAGCCCTTCTCAGGAAGCAGCAGGTTTGTAGAGACAAACTCTTACCGGGGTACGGGACACGCTTGTCCCATGCAGGCTGGGGCCCGTGCACCTCGTGGAGCTGGTAAGGTGCCAGAAGTACTTTTCCTCTAGGAGCTGGGCTCTTCATTGAAAGTTAACGTCATGTCTGAAGGACAAAAGTTGCTACCTCGTTGAGAAAAAATCTGGCATCACCCATTACGATAATTCTGTGAATTCTGTCAATTTTCATTGACACAATGATCCATTTTCCTTTTCAATCTTGCTCAGCTCTTCTCCTCAAATTGCTTCTGGTGGAAGTGAGTGCCATTGATTTCATGAAAAACATTTCTATCGGATTTGAATTTGTCACCTCTGCTTCAAAGATAAACGTAAAAACCGGGCCAATAAAGCTACAAGACAAAAATAGAAGTTCTCCATCCGTTTTCTCAGTGTTAGTCATAACTGGAGCTATTTTAATCTCTCATTCTCTTCCATCTCTCTATAACATTTCTGCTGTCTCATTAGTTTTGTTATCATTTTCCAAACCCTATGGAACTTGCAATACAAAGCGTTTGCCTACAATGCCCAGTGCTCAGTCCCGAACTGATCCGAGTAATTTTAAAACTCAGAGTTGTGCGAGTACTTTGCTTTCTCTAACCATGCCGTCCTTTACATTCAAAATTGAACTTTGTTTGTCACTGTGATCCATTCCACGGTACCACAAAATTTTCCTTATTTTTGTGAGCGTATCTTTGATAACTTTCACCATTTTCCATCTCACTGGTCATGCCTTTTCCAGATCAATTTTAAAAAGCCCTTATCAATTAAAAAAAAAAGTCAATCATAACTATTAGAAAAACACAGAGTATAAAGAGGTTTTTTTGACAGTCTAGTATAAATTAGTATGCAAATTAGCTCTTACATTGTAAAACTCTTCACAGGTACATACACACGGCACAGGAAGACAATTCTGCTACTACCTTATGAGGATTTTTAACAACTTATTATCACGAACCATATATCACTCTCTTCTCCCAGGTAACGGGTGATAGGATGAGGGGAAATGGCCTCAGGTTGCGCCAGGGCAGGTCTAGGTTGGACATTAGGAAAAATTTTTCACCGAAAGGGTTGTCAAGCACTGGAAGGGGCTGCCCAGGGAAGTGGTGGACTCCCCATCCCTGGAGGTATTTAAAAGAAGGGTAGACGAGGTGCTTAGGGACATGGTTTAGTGGTGGGATGGCAGGGTTAGGTTAACGGTTGGACTTGATCATCTTAAAGGTCTTTTCCAACCTAAACAATTCCATGCTTCTGTGATTACTGTCAGCCTCTTGGATAACAACAAAGGCCTTTTACTGCACTCAGAAAATAAGCTTGATACTGACAAGTTATGGCCAAGATAGGGTATCTAGGAAGAATCCAAGTACTTCAGAAGAAATAAAAAGAGTAGGAACACTCCTTTAAGAATCTTAACTAATCTCGGCATTTCCTCTGATTCAAGCACAGAAGTCCCATCGGTTTCAGTGTTGCAACTGCTGTTAATGGTCAATTCGGACAGCGCTTACAACCCCAAACCTGCTTAAGCTTACCCGTTTCATTAGCCTAAAGCTAGCGGGAGAATTCTAGATGGAGAAGCAGACCCATCTTCCTATTTGCTTCTTGAAGTAAGATTTGTATAAGGAATCTTATCAGAGCAGACACAGAGCCACAAACTGCACACACTTTGCTTCCCCACAGAGCAGCAGTAGAAAAGCCTGACGTTTGGCCTGCCCAGGAACGGCTGCCTTCCTTCTTACCTGTAAGAGAGGACGGAAGCTTTTTCAGAGTGCCGAGTATTTCTCTTCTAAATGAAATCCCCGTTCCTCCTGCTGTAAATGCAGTGTACTGAGGAAAGCAGACTGCAGAGATCACCGCTGCGTTAACAGCGATGCGGCGCCTTAGCGAAGCCTGTAACGTTACAGTGGCCGCACTTTCTTCCTCCGGCAGCTGAGTTCATCCCCAGGACTGCTCCAACAGTCATTTTTTTTGCCACTATTTAAGAGAACAGAAGTTCCAGAGTACTTCCATTGCTACCAGATATTATTTCTCGCATGATGTGAATATTAATTTACGATCGCTAACACACACAATGGTGTGGGAGACAGATGTGCTCCCTTCACGGTATTTCAGAGTACGAAGGGCTCCAATTCATCCTCTCCTTCATGACATCTATTAACTCATCCACGGGGAAAATATCACTTCTATCTAACAGCGAAAATCAAATGTCAAACTCTCCAACATATTATCAGACCGTCCAACAGCCTGACTCTGCAAAGACTGAGCTTTAATCTTTATGGGGCACAAGGATCCTCTTGACTCCAGTCGACACAGGAGAGAAGCGTATGCGTGAGCTTTAGCAAGGCTGAAGAAGCCGGGATGAAGAGCTACGGCCTTTGTTTTGGCACATACACAATCCACAATACAAAGCGTCCAAGGAAAAAAGCACAAATCTTTTAGCAATTCTCCCCCGCAGTTTTCCACCAGCCTCATACCACAACAGAAATGCTCTGCGATGGGCAGAACTCTGATAATTTGCAGGAAAATGAGGGCAACAGTTCCACCCGCTTTCTGCGGGAGTTATTTTGGCAAGCTCACGCTTTAAATGCCAAGCAGCGTTTCGGGATTTGCTCGGGCATGCGCGTATATGCGTCTTGCTCATCTCAACAAAAGGGAACTCCACATACTTTGCTGTACAGACTCGCCAAGTATTTTAACTGGAAGCTAGTGGATTTTCATGTATTTATACTGTATTAAGTACCTAGCTGCTTTTTCAAACCAAGGTTACATTTCAAACATCCATTTTTCAAAATCACTGCATCTGAAAGACTTGTTTAACTAACAAAACACGTCCTGCCTCAGCCCGTTTCCTTTTCTCATATTGGCATAGCCATTTCCCATCTGAGCCTGCGTTATTTAGGGGGTCAGCATTTTGGAAAAAGGAAGTTTTATTTTATAGTTAAAGATGATAACGTGCTCTAGTAGCTTTCTCAAGCTGATGTTCAGAAAACTTTTTTTTTTTTTTAAATAAGGTTTGTGTCCCTGTCGTTACTTATTTAGCAACTGCATTGCAGAGCACAAGGAAATTCCGTCCCCCCCCAAGATTCACGTAGGCAATGAGCAAATTATAATGGCATCATCTGAGTTCCCGACACCCTAAGAGGAACGCATATGCTCTTCGCTGTAAGTAAGTGAAGCCTACAAAAACTTACAGTATGAGCACGCAACTTCCGTGAGGTACCCCAGGCTGCGACACGGCTGCACATTTGCAACTGCAACCGTCCACACTCACGCGGGCAGCCCAGGGAAGTGGTGGAGTCCCCACCCCTGGAGGTATTTAAAAGACGGGCAGGCGAGGTGCTTAGGGACATGGTTTAGTGGTGGGATGGCGGGGTTAGGTCAATGGTTGGGCTTGATGATCTTGAAGGTCTTTTCCAACCTAAACGATTCTATGATTCTATGACAGAAAAAAAACAAACCTCGAGGCCACTTCTTTTGACGTGATAGGAAAACAAAACCGAAGTGACAAATCCCATTAGCAGTTTTCAGCAGGTTTTGTCCCCCTCTCTTTTTTTTTTTTTTTTAATAAATAAAATGGAGTCCTTGCTTAGTTTCCAGATTAAGAAGTATTATTAAAAGTAGTTACAGACCCAATTACAACCCTTAGAACGCCACCAAAATGCACTACAATATTCTTTTATTTAGTTTACAGAAGAGTCTATCAGTACAGGTTGCAGAAAGAAAACGTTTAGTGCTATTTACAATTTGTTTTAAAACTCTGCTCTATACAAATTTAATTCTGATCAGTATGAACAATATTTTTGTAAATCTACTGCATATAAAGCATTTCATCAAAGCAGTAACAATGAATAAAATAACCTGATTACATTTGAATGATGCCAATCATTCGAAAAAACGATTACACAGAACATCTGTAAGAGTTGTGGACACTTAAGTACAGAACACAATGTCAACCTGTGACTCATTTTTTTAAAGGCTAAACTATTTATATGGAATATTGTTCTATTATACTACACGCCAATCTATATTTAACTTCTATAGTTATGTATTTTATAAGATTTTTATTAAATATATTCTACACATATTTGTAATTTCACCCAGGAAGAATTCCTCCCCAGTGAAAAAATATAAAATCTTTTATATTTTTTTTATTTTTATTTATTTTTATTTTTTACAGGTTTAGATGAAACTAGCTCATGCTTTAGTGCTGTGCAAATTTCTTTAGCATATCAACGTTTAAATTATTGATATGAAATAAAAAGAATGGCATCCTTTTTAATTATGTATGCCTTCAAAAATCAGCTTCTGATTTTAATACAATTGCAAGCACTAATACCAAATGCAGATTACGTAAAGAAACAAAACTAGTACTATGGCAGAGGTTTTTCTTTTTGCTTTTTAAACTTTAATAAGTCCCTTGAAGTCTCTAATGAGTAAGCATGACACTGGACACTAAGGTACAGATGAGAAAATGACTGAAAAACACCAATTGCCAATATTCAAATACATAAAATTGATTAGTAAATGATGTTTTCTAACATTTATGCACAATAATAAAAGCCTATGAGCTACAGGAAATTACCCCTCCCATATTAAGGCTAGGAAATGCACTCTCTGCACTTGTTTGTGCTGTCTGAATAAGCACTCAACTAACGTATGAGATCAGAGTGCACGCAGTAACGAAAAAATCAGTTTCGTCAGCCCTCTACAGAGTGCTTTTAAATTACAGGCACATAGTTTTTTTTGTTTGTTGCAGTGAAAATATATATAGTTAGACTTGGTTTAGTTAGTATTCTGTGCCAGTTCGGCCACCAAGGTTGACTTAGGTAGAATTGTATTAACAGTTTTTCCTTTGATTTGGCCATAAGTGAGATTTGTTTTAATTACAGGTATACTATTTTCCAGTGTTGCATTATACATTGTAGGTTACTACTAGGTATCTCAAATATCGTTAGAGATCGTTGATGAGAAATATACTGTCAACCATATTTAGTGCAAATTGCATCTAGAAAGTTTGACTGGTTAGAGCCGGTTAATGGAGATTTTTGTGGTAGCAAAAATGATTCCTGCTATGGAAAAGGACACATTAACTTTTCTGGAGATTGAATTCTTTCAAGAACTGATGTACTGTAAGATTACTCAACAAACAAAAAGCAGGAATTTCAAAAAAAAAGAAAAAAGAAATTGTTCATAGATCTTTCTCTTTTTTTTTTTTTTTTTAAAAAAAAAAAAAGACTAACGAGACAGTGTTCGTGTAGTATTTCAGTTCCATGGATTTACAGACAGGCTCTTCCTACAGGTGTTTGAAGCAAGGTAGGGCCTCTTCTATTCCAGCAGCATGAAAGACAAAGACTATATTACATCACACTTAGCAAGTAAAGCTAACAGGGTTTACAGGATTACACAGCAATTGCTTTCTCCAGTTTTTTCACGGTTCCTTTGACCTGTGGAGCAAGAAGAAAATTTTGCTTACATGCCATTTCTAAAGTAATTAGGTTGTTTTGTATGTGGGTATGCTTGATAAAAGTATGGGTTTTATTATTTTTAGTTAAAAAAATATTTATTATTATACATATGCATACATAAGTCAAAAATAATTCAGGAGTAGTTTTTAACAATAAAAATAAAAGCTTTCAAGGTTTGAGTAAATGTCTGCATTTTACAAAAATGCTAAACCAGAAAGTTAATTTCTTAGTTTTCTATAAACATGTACAAAAGCATTCCATCATTTGCTTCGCAAAAGACCACAAGGACTTGACTTTTCTCTACTATGAAATATTCGAAAAGCCTTTAAGAGATCCGACCGCTCTGCCATGTACTTGAGTGAGAAACACCTCTAGTTAGTGCACACCGTACCTTGAGAGTTTGGCTCTGGCAATGTCTCTCTAGCCACCAAATGCATCACCGTTGTTTTGCCAAAAGGAAGTTTTAATGCTGCAAAATGAGAAAGGGAGATTTATTAACGCATTACAGCAGTCGTCCTTCTTCAAAACACCCAACTGAAAGTTGCATCTTGCCTTTTAATTCTAATCTGTAACATCAGCTGCATGTGAAAAATATCAAATGTAAAACATTTTAGATCAGGTAAGGTAGTTCTCACAATGCTGCGTTTGTGAGCTTTACTAACACGAAAGAACAAAATCTGAGCTTTCCACAACTCGTTCTGCTTGTTTCTGAAACAAACCAGTATTTTTCACATTCTCATTTAAGTATACCAACACAGTGCTGTATTTATGGATTCAGCACTGTAGTGTAATATGAATCAAAACTTCTAGACTCCTTGAAATGAAAATATTTTCTGTTGCTCACTGTATTTAGCAGATTCTCATTGCCAGATTCAATACTCTGAACTTTGACTTCTTCCAATTTTTTGGGGGGGAACGCAATTATTTTTACAAGTTCTTTACATAACTTTAGTCTTGTTTCCTCTCTCCAACTCCTAACATTAAGCATATTTCTTGATTATTTCTCTGAGAAATGTATGGGAAAGATGCTGTAAGTTTTGTCACCTCTCACTTAAGAGAGGAAAAAAAAGTTAGCAATAAATATTAACAAGAATTTAAACCTAAATACACAAACCATTCTGACTTGAGTAGAATTTTTCCTCTTAAATTCCATTTAGGTCTTCTATTTTTACATACAGTGCACCACGGCATTTTAAGTGAATAAATGAATAACGAATGTCCAATAAACCTGAAGGTAACTGAAGAGAAAAATGCCCCTCTCTATTTTAGTCACTACAGCATAGATACAAAATTCAGTAATAAAAAAAAAAAATAAACCTAATATTTGGTTACTACATTTATTCAATACAAGCCTAGCTACAACATTGCTATTAAATCATGTTCATTGTCTATGTTTTTGTTTGCAAAAGTGCAAGTTATGATTAAAACACAGGTGTAAGCATACGGAGAGATACACAGCTCCACAAGCTTGTCTGAAGTAGCTGTACTTTGGGAAAAGCCATCACTATAGAAAGTCAGATCTGGAAGTTGCTTAGTCTACTTGAAGCGCTGCCCATGCCTGCAACTAGAAGCTATTGATAGCTTAAAGTCTGACAAGGATGAAGTATTTTGGGTACCTGATTCTGTGATACAACTGAAAACTCTGCAAAGAGTGTATCAGCAGTCTGTTAAACTCAATGGGAAAGGACTGTCTTCGTGACATGAACTCTTAAGAAGCCATTACCAGAAAGAGCAAAATACTACAAACCAATCACATTAGGGACATCTTTCACACTATCAAGACACTTGAGGAGACTTGATTAGCAAACTGTGGAGATTAGTTAATGGAAATATTAGCATACTTTTATTTGATTACTATAAATAATTAATTTCAGCTAGTCGTTCACATAGTTCTCACAAGTTCTTCTTAGCAATTTCCAGTTTCTTGCTTGGAGCACCATGACAGAATCCGAGCACCCTAACCAATGCTCTGTAATCCTTTCTTACTCTTGTCTTTGTTCTCTCACCCTCTTCCCTTCCTCTCACTTAAACTAAACTTTTATTTAATTCCTTCCCCATCTGTTTAATCCCACTTTTATTCCAGATTTTCTACTGTCAGAATTTACTTTTTCCCCCTCTTTTGGTATGTGTATGGCACAGGGTGGGTTGGCTTCCCTTCCCCTCTCTCCAATAAATAAGCAAGTAAAATGCTACTGATTACCATTTATCTAACAAGAAATGGAGAACTGTCAATTATGTATTACCTCCCTAATTAATATTATTTCAAACGCAAACTCCAGACCAAATATTTAGCTAAAGGACGACATTTCCTTTGGAAGCTGCACAACAGACTCTGACTTGCCAGCTCACTCCCCAACCCTTCACGCAGGCAGGACACAACACAGCAGCGTGGCTCAAGCACCATGGGCAAGAGTGGCACAGCAAGCTTTACACGGGGGTCTGGTTTTCTTTACCACTTCCAATGCCATTAGCTCTCCTGTTCTTGTAGTGACGGTCCATTCAGAGAAGCTGGCAAAAGAAACTGTTTCTTCAAAATCAAATTTTCCACTCAAAAGCCAGTTTTTTCCTATCAATTTGTCATTTTTTGATGCTTCTTAGTTTAAAGGAGTCTCAAATTCGCAAGACACTACGTAGACATGTGAGGTTACAACTAGAATGTTACAATATCATTTTTAAATGTGAATAAAAATGGACACCCCCACCCCCATTTAAAAAAGAAAACACTGAACTGCTTCCTTGGAAACTTTTGTTTCTCTAGTTGATAAAGTAACTTTCAGCACACAGTAGGTCCAAATTCCAGTCAATATTTTGTAATCACCTAAAGTAAATAAAACACTAAGTGCTATAACTCCAGTTATAGAGAGCTGCAAACAGAAAGCTTAATGGAACTTTATAACAGCATAAGAAACAAAGTATGGTATTTAGCAAGAAATTCCCTCCCCCTCTGCCCTCCTCCCTCTTTTAAAGATCTCTAGTTCACTTTGGGTTACATCTAACGAACACAACAAACTGAAGTAACAGCCTTTTCAGGCTGCCTCATGAATTGCTGTTCCCCTCTCAGCTGTATAATCTGACTCCAGATAACTTCATTAGCACTGAAGTAAGCCAATGTCTCAGGGATTCTTTTTCTTAAAACAATATAGCCACAAAAAGATCTTTGAAAAACACTAATATACATGTAAGATCCTTAGGGTAAAATAATGAGGATTAAATTGCAATGCACGAATGATTAAGAATGAACCCAAGTAAGTGTTCAAAACCCATAGACCTGAGTTAATGCAAGAGTCAAGAGCATGCAGCTATTACTTTTCACCTTAACTCGTTAAACAAAATATGAAATGTATTAAACAAATATTCAAAGTTGTTTCAGCTTTAGACAAATGTCACTAAAGGGAACAAGCATGGGTGGTCAAGAGCAACACCTAGAGATGAAAGACAAAGAAAATCCCTGGAAAATGTAGGGTAAGACTAGCATCTCTGATTGCAGAGATGATCCAAGACTAAATTACACTTGTCTTCCAACCCTACTCCAACTGCTACTGGCTGCACTCATTGGCACCCGGTAAACATACAAATTAAAGAGTGAATAAAAATTTCAGAATTCTCTCAGCTAAATTGACAATGATCTTGCTTGTACATATAGCAGCATTAAAAATTGATTTATATGGAGAGTAAATCTATTCTAAAAGTACATCACTAGCCAGCATCGGTAATGGTAGAGAGCGATCAATGGCCACATCATCCCTGTCACTTCTTCATGGAAAGATCACCATAAGAAGTCCAGAAATATTCTTTCAGGTTCATCTTAACTTCAAAAACATTTAATTGGTGATTTTGTATCATGTTTTCCTCTCTGTATTGCACTCAAGTACCAAATGCATGAAAAATCTGAACATATGGAGAAAGTAGAAGAATTAATTTATTTGTAAACTGGCACAGAGAAGGGAGTCTCATTTTGTCTAGTCATTGATACAGTTGATATTCACACCAGCAACTTCTACCTACAAAAGGAAAGGTTTTTGTTACAAATTTGCATAGTAGCTCTATCAAAGATACCCACCAAAATATATACTTGTGGGTAAAAACTTGCCACAAGGGGGCATAGTTGAATTGTATTTCCTTAGCATATGACTGAAGCCATTTACTTTTGTTTTCGCATAACTATGCAATTGTATCCCTGGGAGAGCACTGGACAGCAAGAATGCTTCCCCTCATTCTTATTCATAGGGTGTCTTCCCTCATTGCACTAAGATTTAAAGTATTGTTTAACCAATTATCGTAAAGTTTATCAAACAACTTAAAATACTTCAGACATTTATGAAGTAGCTTACCCTGCAAGTACAATGTAAGAGAGGTGACACAAAATATTACATTTAGAAAGACAACAAATTAAAGCGGCGTTACCGCTTCTTTAGGCAAGAGGAGACTTGACTTAGCAGGTGGTACCTCCTAAAGTTTAACAGCTAGTGGTAACAAGATGGAAAAACACACAATAAGATACAATGCCACTCTATGCAGAGGAAAAATAGCATATAGCAAACCATACTGTGATCTGGAACAGTAAAGTAGTATTTACTGCACTGTAAATAAATATCCCCTTTGCCTAGCTGTAACATGCATAATGAAAATTATTTTCATACCTCCTAATGTCACATTGCCATGAAGAAACCTCCCTTGATAAATAAGCCGCAAGATATTTGGACTGCTGACTTGTTCTTCTTCCCAGTCTGAAAAGAAGCGAGAGAATTTTCACCATTACACTGTAATAAAAACGTATTTTGTTACTTCTCTGACCTTTACCCAGGAAGAAAACTAAGAACAGGATCTCTTGCATGAAACGCTGAAGAAAGGGCATAGGCTGAAGATACACAAAGGTAATTCAAGGCTAGCACTCCTGAAATCAATTCTTAAGTTTATTATTTGACATTGGGCATTGAAAGACATAATTTTATGCCTGCAAGCGTAATTATTACTAACTAACTTCACAGGTTGCATGAGATATTTAGCACATACGCAAGTCCTACACAAACCATTTTGTAAATGCAAGTTGCTTCCTGAGGCTTAATAGCCACTTGGCTAAAACTGCCTTAGTTTCTTCCCATTCAGAAGATTCTCAGGCCATCCTCCCTCTCACCAGCTAATTGCCTAACTGGAGCCCCTCTCCAGCAATGGGGAGCAGCCGAACGCACAGCCGGAGCGGAGCGCGCGCCATGGGGTCATTTGCAATAGGGCTCCCAGATCACAGCACTGGAAACGCTCTGCAGGCTGCTCAGCGGCGTTCGATGATGGCCAGATCCAGCCAGCTACATGTCCAGAGGGGACAGTGGCCCGAGCAGCCCCGGACGGTCATGGCAGAGAGCCTGAGCAGAGGGCTCTCACAGAGTGGACACTGATGTATTTTAAGGAACTTCTCAAAGGAGAATCTGGATGGTTTTACGTGGCAAACAAGGATTCGGGAAAAGCAAGCACGCATTTTCCTATAATGCATTTCTTATAATGCTTAAGCTGTCGTAAATAATTTATAAGCTTAAATGATCTTTTCATACTCTTTTACTGTTCCCTGTCACAACGGGAACAACAAATAAATCTACACTTTGCTTTCAGAACAAATATCATAAAACCTTGCAATGTTGAATTTAAATGGGCTCTCTCTGAGAATACAGTGTGTTCTGTTTCTTAGCTGACCAGATATCTGACAACAGCTGTTCACAAATGTTCTCTCTTTCTGCTTTGGTGGCGTTTATACACCAAAAATGAATATTCAGCAAGGGATCGCGACAGGCAACAGAAACCAACCTGTTCACTGGGAACATACAATTAAGATACAGGCAGTGGCAACTGGCACCACAAAAGGAGAAGAACTGAAAAGCAGAGAAGGGGAAGAATTTAAAACAAAAGACACGGCTGCGGAGAGTGTACGGAGAGGCATCTGGTGCAAAAAAGCAAGCAGGCAGAGACGCAGGCAGCAGGAGCCATGGCAGCCCCAGCGCTGCACAGAACACGGCGGAGGCAGGGCTGGTATCAACAGCAGAGGCTGGAATATCCCCGGGTGCTGCTGTCTGCCTAGTTTATAAGATTAGAACAAATTAGGCAACTAAAGCTATTTGAATTCCAAGTATTTCCACTCAGGGTCCAATTCAGTTGTCTTGTAATTCAAGCACATGCCCCTTCTGCTATGCTGTGAAGTGGCTACATTAAGGACTGAATTATCACACTGCCAAGGTGAATGATTTTCTGGAAGATACCAGATTTTTTTTTTTTTTTTTTTTTGCTCCATACAGTCTGAACTCCTCTATACTATGGCTGCAAAAAGGAGAAGTTCAGCCAGTTTATAGTGCCATAATGACGTAAAACAGCAACCAAAAGAAGAGAGAGTATATTTTGGCACAGGTGTTTGCTCATTGTTAAGCTGCCAATTTAGCCAACCTTTTAATTTTTGTTTCTTGGCTGGCAGTCTGAAACAGTTCTTTCTGACAGGATTTCAAATTTTAATTTCCACTGATTATTAAATGAGCCAAGGAGAAAATATTTACCTATGATTTTTTTTTCAGTTCAGCGGAAAACTGCTGTACCAGAAAAAAAGTTACTATTGTAACTGTTGTGGCCAAGAAGGCCAATGGCATCCTGGCTTGTATCAGGAATAGTGTGGCCAGCAGGACTAGGGAAGTGATCGTGCCCCTGTACCCAGCACTGGTGAGGCCACACCTCAAACACTGGGTTCAGTTTTGGGCCCCTCACTACAGGAAAGACATTGAGGCACCAGAACATGTCCAGAGGAGAGCAAGGAAGCTGGTGAGAGGTCTGGAGCACAAGTCTGATGAGGAGCGGCTGAGGGAACTGGGGTTGTTTAGCCTGGAGAAGAGGAGGCTGAGGGGAGACCTGATCGCCCTCTACAACTGCCTGACAGGAGGCTGTA